AAATAATGGTGATATCAATGTGCAACAGATTCGTTCAAGTAATAATATGGCTGATTTGTTCATCAAATCTCTACCGACGTCAACCTTCAAGAAACTAGTATACAAGATTGGGATGCGAAGGCTCAGGGATGTGAATTGATACTCTCATCAGGGGGAGTTAATACGTGTTGTACTCTTTTTCCCTTACAAGATTTTTGTCCCACAGGATTTTCCTTATAAAGTTTTTAACGAGGCAACCAAAAGACGTATTTCTAAATATGTGTACTCTTTTTCCTTCATTGGAATTTTTTTCCCATAGTGTTTTTTCCTAATAAGGTTTAACGAGGCACATTATCTATGGACATCCAAAGGGGAGTGTTATAAGAAAAATCAAATTATGGTGAATGTCTACTCTTCCTCCATGATCTTCTCAAATGCTTAATGACATATTCAATGACATATTTATATGCTTAATGACATATTCAATGACATATTTTTCTTCACTTTTCATGCCTATATAAAGGCATTGTAATAGATAGAAAAATACACACAATTGAAGAAAAAATAAGAATCTCTCATCTCTTTCTCTATATATCTCTTAGCTTATTTTTCCTTGTTCTATATTGTTACTTTGAGTTAAATTTTATAACAAGACTCTCATTATTGTTTGGCTATCATTTATTACTAAGCATGCTTAATTTCTAAGAGGAATAGTATAGGCAGTCTTTATGGGAGTTTAGAAGCTATGCTTGAACTTTATTATTTAATAAAGAGTTTAACTTAGATACAATCAATTAGATACAAGATAATTAGCAAATAAATTTCTTTGATAAGGACAAATAAATAATCTAATAAAAATAATAATTACTCTGCTATTACAAATTTGTAAATGCAAATCTATTAGCGATCCCATATAGGGCACTAACGTACAGCAAATGAAATGAATAATCAAAATTAAGTATCAACTGTAAAAAATCAGAGAAATAAGAGAGAAAGTGCAACTTATAAAATGCTCATACGGTTGTAAGTGGAAGACCAGAACTTCTAATAAAGGATTAAGAAAATGCAAGAATCTTGCGCATAAACCTGCATCCTAAAATAATTTTTCAGTTTGTCGTTACGCTGAAATCTTTCCGCATGTAAAAGATAGACAAAGTTAGAAATTAAATCAAGATTAATTACTATTTTCACGTTGTCTAAGATTTGGTATTTACTAATTTATTTAATTTATGTCTAATTAAGATTCACAACCAAAATCATGTAGGAATATATTTTCTAGATTCTATTCAAATATGGTTTTGTATTATTATAAATATAGTTGCCACTACATATTTTTAGTTGTAGAGAGGTAACTATGATGTAGAGAGATTCAAGAGTTTATGAGTTGTGAAAAAGTCTCCACCACGTTCTATCCCTAGTTTAATAAATTTCTTCTATATAGTCTTTGTTGAATTTTTTGTTTGTGCCTAAATTATTTTTGGGATATTTCAATCCTTCAAATTGATATCAGAACTTGTGTGAGATCCAACAAAAAAATATGGATACTCTATTACCTAATTGTCATGTTTTTATGTTTGATGGCAAAAGTAATTTCGAAACTTGGTATCAAGAGATGAAGAATTCTTTTAAGGAAATTGGATTATGCTCCACCATTGATGAAGGATTTGAGAAACCCCCGGAAGGTACAACGTTGACGGATGATATAGCTACGAAATTGGAGAAGAAAAGACATTTAGATTATAAGGCACGCTACTATCTCGCCATCAAGGTTGAATTGCACGTATCTAAAAAATATTTGGATGCAAAGTCATCAAAAGAGGCTTGGACAATCTTGGTGAAGTCATATCGAAGAGCTGCTACCATAAAGAAGGAGAAACTGCAAGAATTTAGGAGTCAATTTGAGGTGGCTCGTATGAAACCAACAGAGTCCGTTAAAGAATTCATTGCAAGAATTACTGAAATAGTCAATGATCTAAGGACCAATGGAGAAGTATTGGAAGAAGTTAAAATTGTTGAGAAAATATTACAGTCTCTCAGTTTAAACTTTAACACCAAGAAAGTTACTCTTGAGGCTATCAAAGATCTTAGCACTCTCAGATTTGATGATTTAGAAGGCGAATTGGTGACATACGAGAGATCACTGAATCAACATAAAGATGAGACATTAGATGATGCACCGTTAGAAAAGGATGATCAATCAAAAGAAAAAGAAGGCACACCAATAATGACGGAAATAAATCAAGAAGGCTAAAATTCAAAAATAGATGAGAAAAGAAGAGAAGGTACATGTAAATTTTGTTGTGATAGAGATTTCATTGAAAGAGAAGAGAAGTCAAATAATGTTCAAATTGATCTTCCAAGAATTTCTGCGATTGTTAAAAATGAAGATTTGGTTGCGAGATATGCCCGTCCAAAAGAGATTGGCGTTTTACAAGAAAAGTTATTTGATGGTATTGAAGATGAACCTAGCAACGAAAAAAGCAAGACAATTCATCAAGAGAAAGTTTTTGATAATCTACCAAAGATTAAGGCAGAAATAACTTGAGATCCAGAACCACAATATCGTATGATTATAGATATTGAAGATGCAATCAATTTCGTGCCATTGTTCAAGATTGCATGTTTCAAGCAAGAGAAAATGTTTATTGGTGGCATTACTCTACATCATATAGAATGGCAAATTGGAGTTGAATGGTTGGACAAGTCCAACTACAAGGCAACCAGAGAAGTAGATGATTTCAAAGTAAAGAAAAAATATGTTGATGATATTTTGAAGGAATTTACCATGGTTAAAGATAAATCATATATGGCCAATATAGAAGAAAAATTGATGTTAACTAAAGACGATACTCGCGACTTTGTTGATGCAACATATTTTAGGGAATTGGTGGAGAGTCTAAGGTACTTGACTTCTACAAGGCTTGATGTTACTCATGGCATGCTCAAGTTTGAAAATCTTGGTTTAAAGGAGGCTGTTGGAAATTAAATCAAGATTAATTAGTATTCCTACGTTGTCTAGGATTTGATATTTACTAGTTTATTTAATTTATGTCTAATTAGGATTCACAACCAAAATCATGTAGGAATATATTTTCTAGATTCTATTCAAATATGATTTTGTATTATTATAAATATAGTTGCCATTACATATTTTTAGTTGTAGAGAGGTAACTATGATGTAGAGAGATTCAAGAGTTTATGAGTTGTGAAAAAGCCTCTACCACGTTCTATCCCTAGTTTAATAAATTTCTTCTATATAGTCTTTGTTAAATTTTTTGTTTGTGCCTAAATTATNCTCTGCGCCTGCTCGTACCAACTTGGAGTACTTGACGAAGTGCTAAAGGTAATTTTAGAAAAACATAAAGTTTTTAAATAGAATTTAGAAAGAACCTCTATAAAAGGTAGTAGGCTAGTAGCATATTATAAAATGGGTCTAATTTGTCTAATCTAGCAGACGATCTACTTACCCAACCTAGAATAAAGCAAAAGTTAACTCGAAACGCAAACCAATCATTTGTAACGAGGTTAGGAAAGTTAATCCACATTTTATGTAGCTCAATTCTTAAAGTTGCCAAACAAAGTAATGATAAAAGAATCTGAAAACGTGTTTGACCTTATGATTTAAAATGACATCATGCTCGTAATGTTGTAAAGCAATTTAGGCGGTGGAAATGAAATGGTATATTGACTAGAATCATTTCCTTGTGAAAACTGGGAGATATGATTATGACAAGACTTGGTTTATCGCGAAAATTTAATAAAACCAAGATTCGTATATAACCTTCATCACAAGTATTTCGCATAAAATCTTTTATTATAGAATTACATACGGAAACATATTAAATACTTCAAACATGTAGAGAATTAAGATTTATCGATAAAACATAAAATAAAATAAAGAACTTAGGTTTTACTCCTTTTATACGTGACAGTGGATGTTCTAGCTTACTTGGTAAGCTTTCAATCTTCCACGGTTGAGATGGAGGGTTCAAATCTTAATAGAAGTAATCAGTTATATGTCAGGTTACTAATGAGACGACAAAAATATATACTAAATTAAGCATAATAATTTAATATGATTTGATAAATTAACTTATATATGAGAAAACTAATATAAAAGTAAAAAAACTATTGAGGGAAGAATTTTCACCTAAACAAAGCTCTTTTAATGACTATAGTGTGAATGTTATTGTGTTGTTCTGGGAATGAAGGATTTTCAATTTATAGAGGCCAAAATCTTTTAAAAGGAATCAGTTAATATGAAAGAGATCTATATTTTTTTTTAAAAAAAAAGTAAAACAATTATGGTTAATATTTTATCATTTTTTCAAATAAAAGAATAAATTCAAATAAGATAAAAAAAAATCATTACAAAATCCTAACAGGCCGAGAACCATCTAAAGAATCACCTAAAACCTATAAAAGGTCCTGTGTACTATGGAAACATGCTTCACATTATTCCACGTAACTAAGTCCCCGCTCCAATATAGTGCAATTCAATTCTTTGAATCTTTGTGTAGGGTGTGAATCCATAGGTTCTTAGGTTTCCATCTTTTAGAGAAGATACTACTTTCTTTAGGTTTCCTATTCTTGTGAAATCTCTTTTCTTTTGATACTCAGTTGAAACATCTCATCTTTGCTTTGATGATGAGCCATCTCGTCCTATTAACCCCACCCCCCAGGCGGGTCAATCAACTTATCAAGACATAATTGTCTCATCTTTTTCTTCTTTTTTCTAAAACATATATTAAGTGTTAAACTCTCATGCCCCATATTACTTCATCTACAAATAAATTTGTAGCCATAACCCATCTTTCACTAATTTCCATCCACTACATATCAATTGTCAGGCACTGAGTCAATTTTTTCAGTTGCTTTGTCTTTTCTTTCTTCTTTTAATAAAAACGGGTAAGTTACATTGTGATCTCCTAAATCTGTTGAAAATGAAATATTAGCTAAATTCTCCATGGAAAAGAAAAGAAACGGAATTCTATTGTGATTGAAATGAGGATTAGATATTACACAAGTTATCTTTCTGTATGTCAAGAAACTGAAATAGACTTTTTAAACTTATGTTTCCATAAAGGTGGAGTGATATGGATTATATATTTAACTAAGTATTTCAAAAATATTAAGAAAATTGGACAAAACTTGACCCATGCAGGTCTCGACACTCTAACCAACTGAGCTAATGGGCCTGTTGTTCGTATGGTACAAATCATAAAATTTGAAGTCCTTTATCTTCTAAAAGCCTATAAGTACAGGATCCAAAATCGTATTAAGGTGAAGTTTGAAGAATCGAAAAAGAGGAAACCATGAAGAGTAACGAGCCACGTTCAAGCTCATCTTGTGCAGCTTGCAAGTTGTTAAAGAGAAGGTGCACTCCAAATTGTCAATTCGCTCCATATTTCCGGTCCGATGAGCCCAAGAAATTCGCCAACGTTCACAAGGTGTTTGGGGCTAGCAATGTGAGCAAGATCCTGAACGATGTGCCCGAGGATCAGCGAGATGATACCGTTAATTCTCTCGTTTACAAGGCCGAGGTGAGACTCAGGGACCCTGTTTATGGTTGCATTGGTGCCATAGCTTCGTTACAACGAAAAATGGTGGAGCTACAACATGATCTAATGCTTGCTCAAACTCGCCTTGCTTATTTTGCTGCAAAGCAAAACCCTACTACTAATTGTTCCTTAATGTTGGATTATGATCCTTTTAATGTCGCCAACATGATGCCTTCTGATTTTGTGGATGTTCCTGTCACCGCTGGGTACTTAGATAGCTATGCCCAAAATTCATTTGACATGGACCATTGTGCATCTACTAATGAGTTTGGCCAATTTCCATTCCCTTGATCACCCCACCCCATCTCTAGTTCTTTGCTTCTTCTGTCTTGTGTCGTTAATTTGTAAGGACTTTGCAGAATGGTATGGAACTCCATGGTATTTAATGTAATTATTAGAACAGACTTGATGGGGTAGTAACTTGTCAAAACAAAAAAGTTAAGACTGCGAAATTCATTTCCATTTCTGCTGGTGCAAGGTACGTAATTCAACGTAAAATATTCCAAACTGGGTTATTGTTACATTAGATGGTTTAAACACGATCAGCTACTGTTTTTTAACTTTAGCACAATGAATGACTGCTCAATTGCTTCCTTTTTCGTTCTTTTGTCATTTCCTTTTTCACTTTCAATGAGTTGACTTCCTTTGGTTATGAGTCCACACAGTACACCTCATTCCTCAGTGTTTCCAGTGGCATTTTAAACATTAGAATTCTATTACATTCAATTAAATAAAAGGGAGTTAAAACAGGAAAAATAAATTTTTGTTTATGCATTTGAGCTTTAGCGGTTCCATTTGACGTAAAGGCATCGAGAAGATATTGACCATGTTTTTAAAGACATCAAGATCGCAGCAATAGTCAATGTGAAACAAAAAGTACACAGATGATCATTAGTAACAAGCTAGCCTAGACTTCCTCGCCCCCCCCCAATAACCCGAACTCTCAGTTTAAAATACTTCCACAATTCCATTGTTCAATAATTCATCAGCTAACTTACATATGCATACATGTAGTAGGATAACTTCGATGTTCAATGTTTAGTTATTGCAGGATTAAATCTAAGACCATTTGGCTGCCCTTGAGAAGTAGGTACATATTTGCAACTACAGTAGAAAGAATCAAAGTTCCTGTAATAGTTGCTCACGGTTGCTAGTTGAAATGATCCACTGATGTGCCATAACATAGAAACATGCCATAGTTTTTTAGTTGCTGCTGCCCCAACAACAATACCCCAGAAGCCTGGGTTATAATAGACCCCCATCAGTCCTTTCCTCAATAATNGTAATAGTTACTCGTGAGTGTGCTCCCGGTTGCTAGTTGAAATGATCCACTGATGTGCCACGACATAGCTTTTTGTTGCTGCTACCCCAACAACAATACCCCAGAAGCCTGGGTTATAATAGAACCCCATCAGTCCTTTCCTCAATGATGTAAACCACTAGTCAACTGCTTGCAAGCAAGCAAACAATGGCCAGGTTAATAGAGCAGCAAATAATGGAAGTACGTACATTGATCATTCACGAGAAAGAAGCATCAAGGCAGTTGAATGTTACACACAACCTCAATACTCCTTGTTCCTACAATATTGCAGACTGATCGTAAACAAGTCCGTGAAAAGCCCAGTTATTCATAAAACATTGAGTAATACGAAAGTGTACAAAATTTCACCCTAATAAATAATACTCCACTACAACTAATGTTTTAGCACATCACAATATCATCTACATAAACACAGCAGACCCAAATAAAAACACATTAATCTTGGGTTCCTGGCTTCTGTTAACTGCATGAATAATTTACAAGCAACTTCGGCTGACTTTAGCCCTTGGTCAGCAGCACTAGCTTGCCCTAATAGATGTAACTGCTGCAGATAACTATTTTCCTGTGAAAAGTACATGAAGGTTAGCAATGGAACACCTTTCTAGAAAATAAGCAAGTAAAACTCAAGTGTATAGCAACGTCGACTTCATTCAACAATACAAACACATCTGACTTCCAATCATTAGGTAAAGACCAAAGGTAAAGAGAAAGATTTTCTTACCACAAAAAAAGAAGGGGAATATAAAAAAGCAAATAGAGAAATAGTTCAGTGTGTCATTTTTGTGTCAGAAAGCGAGGGAAGGAGATAGAATCCTATGCTAAAAAAGTAGTGCAAAGGTAATTGCACTACTGTTTCCAAGTCAAAATTCATAAATCTTGTTCCTCAGGTGGCACAATACCCTGTACAAGAAGAACATAGAATCTCATACTCTTACCCCGGCAATACGCACAACACACATCATATGACAATTTTGTATCAGGAATTTTGGCAATTAGTCATGATTATTTTCAATATAAAATGTAAAATTACAAGCTCCGCTACATAGGGATGATAACTATATTTTCAAGTGACCATAGCTTATCCCATGTCTTCTTCCTTTCTCAGTCTTACGCACTTACTGGAAGAAAGAGGTAAAACAATTATCATCAAAAAGGATGAGACAACAACTTGCAACACCCCCTCTCCCCCAAAAAATATAAAAGACAGTGAAAATGTTGGAAAAAATGCAAAAGCTAGCAATTGCATTTATAAACAAATAGATCCCTGTACTTTTCTTGTTTATTAATGTGTCCTTATATCGAGGGTCTACCGGAAACAACCTCTCTACTCCCTCGGGATAGGGGTAAGATCTGCATATACACTACCCTCCCCATACCCCCACTTGTGTGAGATTTTACTGGGTTGTTGTTGTTGTTGTTGTTGTTGTTGTTGTTTTTGTAATGCGCCCTTACAATTGTCCTGCTCGGAATTAATAACAGTAATCTTTAATAATTTTGTGCCTAAACCATAGTGTTTACCCTCAAAATCGGATAACAATTGAATTTGTGAGTGGTTTTAAGGATACGTTGATTAAATTGACACAAAACGTTAAGTTAAATTGCAATTGAAATAAAGTATAATAAAATAAATTCAAATCACACGAATTGAAGAGTTACAACCTTGAGGGTAGGGCCACCCTTGGACAGAATGTACTTCGATTAGTGTCAAGACACAGTTGAATAAGAACTTAAAGAGAAAATAACAGTATATTGCTTCTGAATGATTGTTACAATGTGCTTTTCAAGTAATCAGACTCCCTTTATATAGTAGAGAGTCCTACTTTAGGTACAATTCTATAAAAGGTAAAAATCTCCTGATTTGCCGGTTCCTTATTGATACGTGCCGAGATTCTCGCCGTGATACCCGTCCGGTTACAGATATATTGGCCTTTCATTACTTCGGTCTTATGTTGGTTATATCGGTAATGTTTCCTCGAGCTCATTCGGGGTCAGGGTCGCTTCCGGGATCATGGACTCAATATTTTCGAGGACGGACATTCTGACCTCGTGTTCTAGTTCGATGAGACTCGGGGTCGATCATCAATCCCTCACGTTCCGAGCCCAATCTATCATGCAGTAGACGAGCCCGATTTCGACCGTATACAAATAGTCCCTTCATTTTTCGGAGAGCAAACGATGAGAAACGATATGAGCTTCTGATTCTCACCTCGATAATCCGCATCAAAAACAACAAAATGAATGAAACGTCTCGTCAGTTACGTCTTAATGGCATTAAATGCTTGTCAGTTGCTGGTCGGCCACTCTTAGCTTTGAACCGTCATTTGAAAATTATAAATATCCCCTTCTTCATTCATTCAAACTTTACATCCAAACCTTCTCTACTCTTGTTCCTTAGAAATCTTTACATTTTCTAGCACTTGTATCCTGATTTCTTGAGATCTTTATAAGAACTTTCACTTATCTTCATTCCAAACTGTCAAATGTACCCCTTTAACTTCCTCTTTTTCATTTTTTACCCTTCATTTAAAAGAAAATGGCGAAGACTTCAAAAACAGTTCCCCAAAAAGAAACTATTTCTACATCACAGCCGGCCGGCGAGGAACCATCGGCGAAACCTCCTCTTAGCACGTTAATTCCTAGCGGGTGCTCAGTGACCGCCGATTTTAAAGTTGAAAAACCTTCACCTGTTTTGAGCCGGTATGAGAAGGTCTTGAGGTACATCTACTCGATCACCGAAGAAATTCTTCATACGATCAAAAAGGATTGCAATTGGGTTGGCAAAGATGTGGTGGTTCCTTCGCCTGAAGAAGATATCACTACCCCCATCGAGGGATACTTAAGTGTTTTTACTTATCCCTTTACGCTGGGCCCGTTGGACCCGGTAATCATCCAGTTCTACAAAAGGTACGAGGTGCGCCTTGGTCAGATCCACCCCTCATTCTGGAGGATAGTCATTCTTCTCCGGTTCTTCGTGAGCATTCACCGTTGACCATCTTATGCGCCAATACAGTCCCCGACTCTTCCAGTGGGAGGGGGTGATTAAACTTGTGCGCCGGGCTAGTAAAGCCCCGTTATCGAGCATCGATGAAGATCAGGATCGAGGTTGGCTAGGCCGATTTGTCCGAGTGAGGACCTCGGATCTGATCCCTGCCGAGTACATGCCATTCCTCGAGAAGTGGAACACAAAACGTAAGTATAGTTTCGTTTTCCCAAAATTTTATTTTTTAATCTATTTTTCTTCTTTCTTATCGGTGTTTGGTAGCGATGCAGTTGTTGTTCGGGTCTCGAATGCAGTCGCTTGACTCAGTGAGTGGGTTGAGGGCATTGTGTCACAGAAGCCAAATTTCGAGCGTGCATGGCGCGAACTTTTGAAAGGCCGGTGAGAGGCACGTTCTCACGGTGAGATTCCTTTCTTGAGTGGATAACACTTGGGTTTCCTTTGTGCTGCTGAGTCCTTACTTATTTCTTTTTTCTTTGCAGCTCTTTTCAAGGATGTCGCAATGAGTCCTCCATACGGTGACGAGGATTGCCCTGACAAGTCCCCTGCTCCGAGATAGGGTGAGGAGAAGAAGAGAAAAAGGGCTTCGAGTTCTCCTAACTCGGAGAAGAAAGAATCGAGAAGGAGGCTGGCACGCAAATCCAAAGAAAACATCAGTGCCCGAGAGCTCCCATCGGACTCACTCCACTGGCTAAGGGACGAGTCCGAAGAAGAAGAAGCCTCTGAACTGGTGGCCCGCGTGCGGTCACAGTTCGAGGGATGAGGGGCCTCTGAACGAGAGATAGGTGACACTGAATTGCCTCAAATTAGGGGGGGATGAAGAGGCAGTGGCCGGGGGCCCCGAACTAGAGAGGGGAGAGGCCGTTTCGCCCCAAGTTAGGGAGCCCGACAAGGAGACTGCGGCCGGTGCTTCTCGTGCAGAGGACAATTCGACGAAGGATGTACTTGGAGTGATTGATCTCTACGAGTCACCTTAGTTTACTGATTCCATGATCAACGACACGCAGATGCTGAAAGGACGCCTCAACGAGGGGCCCCAAGGAGTGGCAGACCCCTTTCACAACTTTTTTGA